GGGACAGATGTGTCAGCTAGTAAGCACTCCCCTCCCTGCGAATCTTGTTGGTTTATTCTAAAGAGTCACCTGAAGGTTGCAAAGTCAATATACAAACCTGAGTGGTTTTTTAAAAGGGCACTGGAGACATGGGAAGCGAAGCTGGGAGGCCTGGCTACTGTTACCTTGACTTTCACCATTATTTCTATGATTGCTAAAACATGCGCGCAGTTTTCTGTTGCTGCTGGTTTTACATCACTCCTCCCCCCGCCCCCAATTCAAGTAGCTTTTGAAAATCCATATAGCAGCCTAGCTGTGGAGACCCGGGAATTTCATTTCTCCGGAGTCGGGAGTCGGAGAAACCTGGGTTAAGTTCCTAGCGAGGTCGTTTTCTAGCCCTTGGAGGGACGTCTTTAACTGCCTCGCGCTCAGTTTCGCATCCGCCAAACGGGGTTAAGAGGCAAGAGCGCTGGGCCGGAGCAGAAACGCGAGCTGGCGTGGCTCTGAGACGCTTTTCTCCAGAACCGGGCGGTGGAGGGCGGGCTGGAGGTGCGCGCCACGCGGACGGGCTCGGGGCGTGGGGTGCGGAGGGTGGAGGGTCAGGTCCCACGCTCCGCGCCCCGTCGTCCAAACTCACCAAGGTTTCCAACTCGCCCCTCTCCAGCCGCTCGTACTGATGGCCTGCGCCCGAGAAGCCGAGTTTCTGCAGGAACTTGGAGCAGCGTGTCTTGACCATGGTGAGCGGCCGGAGGCCCCTCGCCCAGCCTCCTGTCCCGCCGCCGGCGGCCCCCGTGAGCGTGTCTGGGTCCCTGGTGAGGCCGCGGCTGGCTGCGCGCGCCCAAGCCTCCCGGGCCAGGGCCCGGTTACCAGGGAGCCGCCTACCTGCGGCCGCAGGTGAGGCCCCGCCCCGGGGCGGAGCTGCGCACCGGGCGGCACTGGGCGCACCTGGCCCGCCCCCGCCCCGCGAGCTCCCGGGACTTCCAGGAGAGAAGTGGCCGGCGAGGCCGGGAGCTGCAGCTGCGCCTCAGCACCCGGGCTGCTTCCCAAACTTGCCAGAGATGAGAGCCACCTGGAGCGGGGGACGGGGAGCCAGAGGGCGAGCAAACGCTTGTTTAAAATGCCGGTTCTTTGACCCCGAGTCCTTGGGTCTGAAGCGCCCGCAGCCGGACTTTAACAAGCGCAGGTGACTCGCCTGGGGGCAGTGGTTAACCCCAAGGTGCCGAGAGAGCACGTGGACAGGAGCCGAGAGAGACTCCTACCTCTGCTGTGGCCCCTGGACCAGCCACGGGGACTCTCTGAGCAGAGGCTCCCTGGTCTGGAGTGGGAAAAGGCCAAGATCTCACCTCGACTGAGGGCCTTGAGGCCCCCACAGCCTTTGTGCTCTGTGTGGTCTTGGGGGATCTCTGAGCCTTTTAGTCTCATCTGCAGAATGGGTTTCTGCACTTGCCGATGGAGGGATCTCGGGCAGTTTTCTTAAAATTTCAGCCTTAGTTTGCTGATCTGTAAAATGGTCACCATGATAGTGCCTCCTTCATAGTAAAATGGAGAGGATTTCCTGGACAGTGTTGCATAGGGAGGGCTCAGGACAAGGGCAGGGCTTGGCACAGCGTATGCTGGTGGTCTCCTCATCACCGGGGAAGCTGCTGGGCTCAAATGCCTCCCAAAGTATGTGAGTGAATGTGTAGTGTAGACGGTGCCCAGCCTCCAAAGGGATGGATTAAAAAGTGTAAGGGCTTTGGCTTCCTATGGGACAGAATCCGTAAGAAGAACCACCACTTAGGGAGGTGGCTTTGGGGAAGGCTGTGCCACTCCTCTGGGCCTCAGTTTTCTGCTGTATAGAGTGGGATTACTTAAGGAATGTAGGACACGGCATGTGTATTTGTCCATTACATTGGGCTGCCCCTTTTGAGCAAATATTTGCCACCTACCTCAACTGCAGGGAGTGGCCACCTCAGCCCATTCAACCAGCTGGGAAGTTCTGGTGGCCCTTCGTGTTTATCCTGACTCGTCCCCCTTTACAGAAATAAAAGAGCCTGACAAGACTGTACTGTCTGGCTCCACCAATTTCAACAAAGGCCCAAGGATAATGGAAAAGGCAGAACTCTGGTGTGAGTCCGTCCAGATTTGAATCCGGGGCCTGTTCCTTTAAGATATGTGACCTTAAGCAAGTTTCTTCACCTCTCTCCACCTGTTTACTCATCCACAAAATGGGGATGATACTACCTACCTGGTCACGATCCCAAGAGAAACAGATGGCACCCTCAAACTAAGTGTTCTGGGGAGAGTTTGATAAACAGGATATTAACAAAGGTGTGGGCAGGGCGCAGAGAAACCAGAGGGATTCTGCAATTTCCCAAGGTTAGCAGCCGTGAAAAACTGCTACCATCCACGGCCTGGAAGGAAAGAGGAGAAAGCAGTTACTTGGAGGAGGTGTCTGTGTGGAGCTGAGAACGTAGTAGAGGGAAATGACTCTGAAAAGAAGCCAGGGATGCAGCCTCCTGGACCAAAAAACCCAAAGAGAAAGGGAGGAGAGGGTCTGCAGGAGCCAAGGGGGATATCGGAACCTCCTTCACATCCCTGTGTTTATGGGTCTGAGCCAACGTTTGCGTAGGTAGAGTAGCTAGTTGGGTCTGACATTAGTAGGTCCTCGGGAAATTCCATTATTAATATAAAAGATTCATGGGAACTTGGCTTAGTTATTCCTCAGGTTCTTTCCAACTGAATTCGATTATACTAAGATAGTGTTGGATCCAGGGAAGAAAAATGTCTTGTTGGCATAGAACGTCATGCTTCCCCAAGAGAGCTATCAGGTATCCTTTCTTCAGGTGGTGCCATACCTCCAGGGAGTGACATGTTGGTCAAACGCTTTTCTCCTGAAAGCCCGGCTTCTTGGATCCCATCACCATGGCCTCTGCTCCCACTCAGAGATGTCAGGCGGGAATTCATGGATCAAGTTGGATAGTGCCCAGGGTTTTCAGGAGGAAAACTCTGGGTAGTGGATATTGTGAGACACCTGGACCTGTTGGAATGGAGAAAAATACGGAATAGACCAGCGGTCGCCAACCGGTGGTCCGCAGACCACTGGTGGTCCGTGAGGTCAGAAAGGTTGGTGACCACTGGAGTAGACCACAGAGAAAGCACTTAAAGAGATTTGCTATGTGACTGGAAGCAGCTGAATGGGTACCCTTAGGCTTAAGTTTATTTAAATTTTTTGTTCTTGTTGCATTGTGATCAGAAAAGGTAGCCTGCACACATGTCTACTAGATTTTCTTAATTTATTGAGACTTTGTGTCTGGTTTGTATGCACTATTTTATAAGTATTCAATGGCATGAGAAAAGTTGGTATATTCTTCGTAAGGGTATTGGTAAGCTGCACTCTTTTATAAATTAGTTCTGTAGCTATTCATTCTTACTTTTTAGTTATATTGTATGTCCTTTTTTTGTTTTTGGACTATTCGATCTGACACAGGAAGATAATGAAGAGTTTAACACTTCCCAGCCTAATTGCTTTCCTGTCCATTTTTTCTTTTGTCTGCCTGAGTGTTTGCTTCTTTTGTTGTGCTTCTTTGTTGGTTAGTGCGTATGATTTACCTGTTTGTTGTCACTCTTGTAACTGTTTAATATCACCTGCAACCCATTACAATAGATTCCTTAAATTCTACTTCGCAGAGTTAAAATTGCCACTGTTTCTTCCCTGTGGCTTAAATTTGTGTGATCTATACTTGGTCTTTTTTTGGCTGTCTCGTTTCATTTTCCACCAGACTGTAAGCTCTGTGAGAGCAGGGACTCTTCCTCAATGTGTGTCCCCTCGGTGTCTGGCATGGTAGACAAAAATGTTTATTGGCCACGTCTCTCATAAACAGCAGATTATTGAAATTTGTTTTTAATTTGAGATCATTTGCTTATAAAAGAGATACGTATTGTGTCTTCCTTGCTATAGTTGTACCATTAAATTGACTTCTATCATCCTCATTTATATTTTATTCCTATGCTTTTTAAGGCATATGATGCAATTTACTGTCATCTTTTACTTTGATTTCAGGATAAGCATTCCATTGAAAATTTTTACCAGGAACTATCTGAAGCATTTCAGAAATGGAGGCAAATATTTATAGCATCTCTTTTGAATTCCTCTTACAGATTTAAAGGAATTGGTTTGTGATTTTCTTCTTTTTCTAACTTGTGTTTCTTTTTCTATTTTTAGTAATTTGATGTCATTACCCCAAATTATTATTATTTGTTAGTCTTTTTGTTGCGTGTTCTCCACTTTTCCCCCGGAATTACACCTGCTATTTATATTTGTTTTCAACATCCCTTCTGAGCTGTCATTTTGTTTAAGTCCTGTGGTCATCACCACTGACTTCAAGATATTTTTCCTCCAAGAGTTTTTTTTCCTGTCTTCAAACTGCAGAATTGTAGAGTCTATGCTGAATGAATCAACTCAAACAAGAGAGCTTTCTGGGAAACTTCCTGAGGTTTGCAGCTCAGAGGGATCCTGATGTCTTGGCCAGCGCTGAGTCAAGGGCGGGACTCAGCCAAAAGCAGTCTTTCTTGATTATCTGCTCTGGGCACCTTGAGCAATGAGGTCATGCTCTCTAGCTCCCATTCGCTCTCTACAGGAAAATGGTGTCATTTCCCTTCCCATAAATCATCTCCCAAAGTACACCTGTTGGGAAGCCCTGATGCAATCCTGACACACCTGAAATTTATAATAAACCTCACAAATTATAAGGTTGGCATTTGAAGGCATCCTTTTAAGAAGGGGTATAATACAAAGGGCATATTTTGCTTGCATATATGTTTTTAATTTTAGGACTTAGTATGAAGTTATGTCTTTTTACATAAACCCTCAATTCTGTTTGTTTTTTTATTTTTTTAATATATTTTTTATTGATTTCAGAGGGGAAGGGAGAGAGAGATAGAAACATCAATGATGAGAGAGAATCATTGATTGACTGCCTCCTGCATGCCCCACACTGGGGATCGGAGTCCGAAACCCAGGAATATGCCCTGACCAGGAATTAAACTATGACCTCCTGGTTCATAAGTCGACACTCAACCACTGAGCCACACCGGCCGGGCTCTATTTGTTTTTAATTGGCACACAGGGAATAATATAATGATTTCATTGATAAAAATTTGCAGTTTAAGGAGGTAAGCCCTTGCGTTCACTCAGCAAATATTCTTAAGCACCTGCCCTGTGGCATTGGAGACAGACCCCTGAACGCAACAGACTTTATTCTGCACGCTTGTGTCTTATTTCCTAGTGGCTGCCACAGGCTGCAAACAAGTCAATATGTAGGGCAATGCCGGGCAGTGAATGTAGTGGGTTGAGCAATGGCCCCCCAAAAGCATGTGCTCACGTTCTCATCCTCAGAAACTGGAAATGCAACTTTATTTGGAAGGACAACCTTTGAAGATATAATTACATTAAGGATCTTGAGATGATCATCTTAGATTAACTGGTTGGGCCCTATGTGCAATGACTGGTGTCCTTATAAGAGTCGGAAGAGGAGACACACCCACATAGGGAGAAGGCCATGTGAAGATGGAGGCAGAAATTGGAGGGATGAAGCCATAAGCCAAGGACCCCTGAGGCCACCAGGAGCTGGGAGAGGTAAGGAAGGATCCTCCCCTGGAGTCTTGAGAGGGAGGGTGGCCCTGCTGACACCTTAATTTCAGACTTTTGTCCTCCAGAACTGGGAGAGAATAGATTTAAGCCAACAAGTGTGGTCACTGCTGCCCCAGCCCCAGGACACTAGTAGAGTGAACGGTGCTATGAGGAAAGTCCAGTCTCAAACAAGCCAGAGCCGCCAAGCCCTGGCCCCGGCTCCCTCCCCACATGCCACTCCAGCCATGCCAAACCCCTTCTTGGTCCACCCTCCCCCCACCCCCCAGTGCAAGCGCTCTCCCCTCCCCCTTTGCTTGAGCTGTCCCCTCTGCCTGCATTCCTCCATAGGGTCCCCTCACCCAAACTCTTTTCCCTCATAAATCCTGCTCACTCGTCAGGTTTTATCTGAATTGTCCCTTCTCCTGAGAGGCCCCTCCTGATCCTTGGACCGAGTGAGATGTCCTGCAAAGGGATCCCCACCATCCCTGTGGTTTCCACAAAGTCTTGGCCCTTTATTACATTCACAAGTTTAAACAAAGGTGCTGGAGACAAACAGCTCAGATGGCTATCAGCAGTGAATAAACGGTGTGGCCCATCCATGTGGTGGAATAAAACTGAAGTGCTGATCATGCTGCAACATGGATGAACCTTGGAAGCATCATGCTAAGTAAAGACACTAGATACAAAAGGCCACATGTTGTATGATTCCCTGCATATGAAATGTCCAGACTAGGCACATCCATAAAGACAGAAAGCAGCTTAGTGGTTGCCAGGGCCTGGGGGAGGGAGGAACTTGGAGGTATGGATTTTTTGGGGGGTGGGGGAGAGGGGGGAGGTAATGACAATGTTCTGGAATTAGAGGGGATGGTGGCAGGACCTCGTGAATATAGTAAAACCCTCTGAGTTGCACACTTCAAAAATGGTCAAACATGGTAAATTTTATCTCAACAGAGATATACTTTAAAAGGAGGCACTGAATACAGATTTGTTGAATGGAGAATGAATGAGTTACTACTTCAGTGAACCAGGAAGCTGAATGTACGATTTCTGCTGGCTTTTTAATATAATAAATACTAAAGTTCCTAGTTACCCTCTCTGAAAGCTGCTGGAGCCCAACGGCTCCCAGGTTGGCTTGTGCCCGAAGGGGCGGGTTAGTTCTGGGGATGGAGCTGATGGATGGGGCGTGACTTTCTGTTCCCGGGTTTGGTGAAGCCATTTCCAGACTCCTCTCTCTGGGGCTGAGGTCTTCTGAAGGGGCTTGGAATCCCTTCAAACCGAGGAAGAAAGAGGTGGGGGTCTCCCCCACCCTCCTGGCTCCCCCTGCCGTCAATCCTCCATGAAGCATGAGCAAGCTCATAGCCCTCCGTGCTTCCCACAGCTGACGCCACTGGACACCTCCCATCCGTCCACGCTCACCTCAAAGGGAAGGGTGCCTCCTGTGGCTTTTTGCTTGGAGGGTTTTATTTTGGCGCCAGGGGCCAGACATGGAGTTAATAGCCCGAGGCATTGTCTACACCCTGTCCCAGCACCCTCCCAAAGGATCAGGACCCAGTCGCCCACAGAGGTGACCATTGGGAGAACACACCCTTTATTTCACCTGTCTCACTTCCCCCCTCTGCTACTTTTGTTTCCTAGGATTGCACCCTGGGAACTGGGAGCCCGTTTCATAAAGCCAGACTCCTCATACTGGCCCACAGGGTCCCCTGTTATCTGGCCCCATCTGTCAACTCCACTCCTCCTGCCCCAGCCCCACCCCACCAGTCTCTGGGCTGTTTGCCAAACAACTGAGCTTGGTCCAGCGCGCCCCCCCCCTCCCCCGCCCCCTCCACCGGACTGTTCTCCCCCCAGCAACTGGCAGGGCCCAACCCCCATCCCTCCAGGCCTGGACGTCAGTGTCCCTCCCCAGGGAAGCCTTCCCTTCCCACGGATTAAAGCACAGCCGTGTGCCGCCCTGCTGGGCGCACACTCTGTACTCGTTCACCGAGTGGAACTTGTACTGGGTGTACTTTTCTGTAGGCAAATTTTGCTTCAATAAAAAATTCTGTTAAATTTGTTTTTATAAAGCAGATGAAAGTTTATTAACATAGTCGTGTGTCCCACGAACTTATTAATGACAAAGGGAACACGGTCGCTTTCCAGTGGAGAAGCGTGGCAGACCCCACATTAACCAAGGAGGCCCTTCCGTGACCAGTGAAGTGGCGAATGAGCCCGTGTGGCTCAGAGAGATGGGCCAAGAACGGTATCACTGCTGGGTGTTCCTGGCAAAGGGCTTACAGATCTCATCACCAGGAAGCAGCACATCCACCCTGGGGGCTTCTGAGAACTAAACAGGCTGTGCGCTTCAAAAATGTCATCATTAGGGAAATCAAGGAATGTTCCAGATTAAAAGAGACTAAAGAGTCATACCAATGAAATGCAACCTGTGATCCTGGGCCCAGAAAAAATATCTTTATCTTTTGCCCTAAAGAACATTAGTGGGACAACTGGTGAGTTTGGGTAAGGTCTGTAGATAATAGTATTATACAGGGGTGGGCAAAAGTTGGTTTACAGTTGTTTGTATGGAAAATAATACAATAACTAATCAATAATCCTCCTATATAATAAAAGGCTAATATGCAAATTGTCCCCTTAGGAGTTCCACCAATCGGGAGTTTGACTGCTCGCTATGATGTGCACTGACCACCAGGGGGCGGCGCGGAATGAAGAAAGGTCCCGGCTGACAGCTGGGGGAAGTAAGGCCCCTATTGGTCCTGATTGCCAGCAAGGCCTAGGGACCCTACCTGTGCATGAATTTTGTGCACTGGGCTTCTAGTACAAGAATAAACTGTTTTGCAGACTCCCAACTATAAACCTACTTTTGTCCCACCGTGTATTAATATGAATTCTCTGGTTTTGATCATGGGACTCTAGTTATGTAAGGGAATGTCCCTTTTTGAAAGCACACCCTAAAGTTTTGGGGAGTAAGAAAGGGAGGGGAGGAGAGAGAGTGTACACCTGTGTGGGGACTTTGAGAATCTGATGAAGAACACAAGCAAATCTGAAAAGGTCACACGTTGTATGATTCCACTGTCTGACGTTCTTGACGTGACAACAGTATAGAGCCGGAGAGCAGACTATTGCTCGGCAGAGGTTAGGGCTGGTGTGGGGAGGAGGGCGGCTGTGCTGTGAAGGCAGTGAGGAGAGCTATCTATGGGCGATGGGGCAGTTCTGTATCTTGGTGGAGGTGGTGCTTGCATGAATCTCTACAAGCAACCACATGCCAGAAACCACACCCGCTCTGTGCCCATCAGTCCCCCCGGCTTCGATAAGGCACCGAGAAACGCAAGACGGAACCATGGGGGAACCTGAGCGAGGGCTGCACAGGGCCTCTCTGTACCATCTGTGCTGCTTTCTGTGAATCTATTAACTATGCAAAATAAAAAAGCTTAAAAAGTAAAAGAAACAGTGTTTCTCTGCCACCTTACATTCCCCTACCCTGATTAATTTTTCTCCATAGCTTTTATTCACTGACTTCACCCATGTGTTTATGGGTACCGTCAGAGCCCCCTACTGGACTGTCACCGCCCCCCACCCCTTTCCTGCTTTATCCCCAACACCTAGAAGAGTGCCTGGCACATAGCAGGCAAATTGATAAACGAATAAGAGAGCCATAGCTAGAGGCAACTGAGTGTCTTGGCCACAGTGAAACTGAAGGGAGGCACGCCCAGGGCAACGGCCATCTTAAAGTACATCAGGCTCCTCTGGGAAGATGGGGGCCTGGTGGGGAGGGGGGGAGGGCAGGACTAGATGCTGCCACTGTAATAGCTTCCTCCTGGCTGTGGGTCTCCCGCCATTTGTACCGTGTAGCCTGGAAACAAAGAGACATCTGATAACCAGCGTGGGTGGGAACCGAGAACCCAGTTAAACCAGTAGGAAAGCTGGTCTATTCATTCAACAAATATTTATTGAGAGCCGGCAGAGAGGAGAGAGGTTGCTTGCCACAGGTGATAACAATACTAGCACACAATACTGCTGACTTGGCGGCGAGCTCTACCTTCCTTACATAACTAGATTTCTGCCCTCACTTCAGCCACGTGCCATGTTCACGGTCAGTGCCCCTGTTTCGCTGAAGAGGGAATGTATGTGGTCCTCCGCCCAGGTCCCCCGGGACCTCTTCTTGTGTGTGTGGGGGGGGTGGTCCCCCTTCTAAAATCCAACACCCGTGGGTCTTTGGAGGCCAGACCTGGCAGTGCCCAAGACCAAAGTGCCTGGACATGTTCTCATCCCCAGGACTTCCCTTGACCATGGCTGGCAAGCCCAAGGCAGAAGCCCAGCTTCTGGCCCCCAGGAGGGACAACGCAGGTCAAGCTCACCCTCCAGAGCTCCCTGCTGGCCAGGCCGAGCTGGCACCTGACCTGAAACCACACCCTTGCCTCTCCTATTCCCTTCGCTTCCTTCTAGTTGCTGCTGGAAGGACGTCCTTAACAAAAGACATCCTTGCCCTTGAGTCTTATCTCAGGGTCTGCTTCTGGGGAACCCGGCCCAGGACAGAATTGGAGGCACAGAATGGTTGAGTAACTGGACCACAGCCACACAGCTAAGAGAAGAGGGAGAGCCAGAAGTTGTGTCCCTGGAGTCAGATTCCAGAACCTGCACCCCTACCCACCAGGCTGCACTGCCTCCCCAGAGGGACACATTCATTCACTCACGGTTCTGTTGTGACCACCCAGTTGCCAGGGTCAGAGCCCATGGGCCAAGGAGATTCTCAGGCCCCTGTGCAGAAGCTCTCGGCCTCTTTAGGAAGGCCGACTCAACCCCATCCATTTGGTCATTCCCCACTTCAGTCATCCAGTGCCGGGGACCTACTATGTGCCTGCACCACGCTAGATGTGAGAGGGAAAGGACTTGGACGTGGTCCCTGCTCTGCAAGAACTCTAGGTCCAGTGGAGAAGGAGCAAACACGTGGCGAGTGTCGCAATGTTTCTGCCTGCAGGACCCGGCGGGGGCGAAACAAAGCACGTGTCAGTCTGCAGGGAATGATACACATCGGGATCTAAACAGAACAGAGAGAGCGGCGGGGAGACGGGCGGAGGCGCACTAGGAGAGGAGCAGTTGCATAACATCTGAGGCCCTTGGCTGGGCCGAAAGGAGGACGTGTGCTGTCGCCTGGGCTCTGGAGGAAACACCCAGAGGTGGCCCAGGCTCCCAGGCTCCACTTCTTTGGGACCTTGAACCACGTATCGCACCCCCGCAGCCTGGGCCTCTCTTATCTCTCTGAAAGGGGAACACTTACACACAGCTTGCGGGTGGTCACGAAGGTTACCTGAGGATGACCTTGCCCTGATGGAGCCCACAGGGCTGCTAGGTGGGCTTGGGCAGGGGTCTGGGGGCACCAATCACATACCTGCAGGTGCTCATGGCAGAGGATGGGCGCCCTTTTGGAAACCCTACAAAGCCTGCAGATGGACTGGCAGCTGTGCTGCCTATGGGGGCTGTCATTGCTGAGACCTGCTGAGGCGGGGGAGGTGGTCTTTGGTACCCACATGTGAGCCCCAGACCTGAGCACTGTTCGTCGGAGCCTGGAGCTTCACCGGCTTCCATGGGTCTTTGGGCCAAGCCAGGCAGCGAAGAGGACCTGGGGACACTGGGAAGGATTTCAGTAGACAGGACTGGCATAGACTCTGGGGGGGAATCCACTCTGGGCCAGCTCTCACTCTACCACTGACTTCGGGGCGTCCTCCACAGACCGCCCCGCTGCCTGAGCCTCTCTTCTCACAAGGGAGAACAGAAGAAGAATGGCCACCTCCAGGCTGTTAAGGGTGGACTGACACGAGCTTAAATGAGGTGAAGCTAAATTACTTGGCCAGTTCGTTCAGCGATCTGCCTCAGTGTCCCCATCCCACTTGTCAAGGAATTTCCCTAGCTTCTTACTGTCCTGCCTCAGCAGGACATCAGGTTTGCCAAGACTAAGCCAGGGGAGGGAGGGAGATGATCTGTCCTTCTCAGCTTCCCTCAGGGGAGGTGGGACATGGTCCCCGGCCACCCACCTATCTTTACACCCCCATTATCAAGTGCCTTTTATGTGCCAGAGATTATGTGAGGAGCTAGGGGGTGGGCGAGGGGGGTGGTAGAAGCTGCAGGTAAACTAGCACAGGTACTCTCTCCAACCCATGTTTAGACGAACCATTGCCTCCCGCCTCATTACACATTTTCTTAGTGTCTTGCTTAGGGGTCCCCCAGAAGCAAACTCTGAAAAGATTTGAATGCAAGTGGTTTTCATGGGCGACTACAGGAAACTGGCAGCGGGTGGGGGGCGGGGGAATGAAGCCAGGAAGGGAGGGAACCCATAAAGGGGCATGGAGCCCGTTACCAGGATGGACACCCAGAGCTCAGTCTTGCTGAGGAGAGAGGCAGCTGGAGTGTTGACCCACCGGCCTCCATCCCTCTCCAGGTGTCAGCTCTGCAGCGCTTCCACTTGGCCCACCCTGTCTGGGCTGAGCAGGCTCCTGCCACTGGAAAGGAAAGATGCTCCGGCAGGGGGCCAGGTGGACTCAGGAAGCAGCTTTTTGCAGGAGAGAAGGCTGAGGTCAGGGGCCGGGACACCAAGCGTTTACCACACTGAGGTTGATGTTGCACTTTCACATCCATATTCCGGTTGTTGGTAAGTCTGCTCTGCCCGCTCCTTTGCATACGTTAGGAGCTCTGCAGACCTGTCTTTCTGTCCTCCCTGTGCCATTTCCTGTGCTGCTGGCGAAGCACACCTCAGCAAGATCAGGAGGAAAATGTTCCACCTTCTACAGCTGCCAGGAATGAGGCCCTGTTCTACACCACGAACTGTCCTTGCAATTGTTATTACTCTCACCTTGTTAAATGCAAAATAAATCAGCCTCAGAGAACCACACAAAACAAAGTACAGCTTAGTGAACCGTTATCAGGTGTGAACCCCTTGAAACCACCAGCTGGAACGAAGATGGAACGGCCACCTTCCCCTGGTCCCCCCCTCCCCCTCCCTCCAATGCGCCCCTTCTCCTGAGGTTTATGATCCTATGCTCATCGCTAGCTCACTGGCCGCTCCAGTCCTGCCTTGCCTGCCTTGTTAACTTGATGTGTCCTTAAAGTCCTCTAGACTACAGGTTTCCCATCTGTATTATTTCCCTAGGGCTGCTGTAACAGATGACCATAAACTTGCTCACTTCAGAGTGGCCCTGGCCGGGCAGCTCAGTTGGTTGGAGCTTCGTCCCCATACACCCAGGTTTCAGGTTCGATCCCCGGTCAGGACACATGTAAGAATCTATCAATGAATTCATAAATAAATTGATGCCTCTCTTCCTCCCCCTCTCTCTCTAAAATCAATACTTTTTTTCAAAAAATTAAAAAAACCACATGATTCTCTTACAATTCTGGGGGCCAGATGTCTGAAACAGTCTTACTGGACTCAAGCCAAGGTGTCCGCAGGGCTGCATCCTTCGGAGGCTCCAGGGAGAACCCATTCCCCTCTCTTTTCCAGCTCTTAGAAGCCGCCCGCATTCCTGGGGTCAGGACACTTCCTCCATCTTCAAAACCCGCCTGCCTCCAGCCCACCTGTCTCCCTCTTACAAGGACCTTGTGATGACATTGGACTCACCGGGATAATCCAGGATCATCTCCCACCTCAACGTCCTTACCTCAGTCATATCTACCGAGTCCCTTTTGCCATGTCAGGGCACACAGTCACAGATTCTGGGGATTGGGACGCGGATAGTTTGGGGGCCATTCTTCTGCTGACCACACCATCCATTTCCTCCCTTACAGTTTATCTGTTGAGAAACCCCGCCCTCTGACCTGCAGCGTTCCCTGCGGCCTGGATTTTGCTGATTCAGGCGCCAAGTACACTTC